CACACACACACACACACACACACACACACACACACACACACACACACACACACACACACACACACACACACACACAAGTTCACTCTTGCACACACACGTCACGTCCTCACGCCCATGCCAACCAACCTCTCCATCCATCCATCTATCCATTCATCCATCCATATATCAGCGATGCAAACGAGTCTGCGCCCATTTCCCCACGCATGGCGCACTCCATGTTCATCTCAGAGGTGCGCTCTCCCCTCAGCGGTGTCCGAGCTGTGCTGGATTTTGCTGGTGGTGGGTGGATGGTGTGTTGCGAACAATCAAAGTGCTCTTCACACACATGCGCGCGAGTGTACGGAGACACGAGCGCACGTACATACTCACCCGAGTGTACGCACACGTACACACAAACACAACACCAATACATTCGCACCACGCCATAACCTCACCCAACCCAACACTTTACCCTCCCCTCTCTCGTCAATCTCCTTGCCTCCTTTGCGTGCTGTGCACAGGCTGAGTCGTGCGTGTACATCTTTGGCGGGCAGTACGACGGCCACTACCGGGCGGATCTGCACCGCTACGACCTGATCCGCCGCCGCGCAACGCTGCTGGATGCCGACTGCACCATCAAGAGCCACATCACCGTCTCCTTCTCCCAACGCGTCGTCTTTGATGCCGACAAGCGCGAGATGCGCTTCCTCGCGGTGGGTGGGAAGGGTGACGATGGTGGTGAAGGCGATGACGGTGATTGGAGTGGTGACTGCAGTGATGGCCGTGGTCGAAGTGACGATGTTGGCGGTGATGCTGGTAACGCCAGGGGTGGACTCTCTTCCTTGTGCTCACATGCACAATCACACACACACACATGCGCGCATTTGCACGTGTGTTCACAGGGTGTGGAGCAGCACGGCGAGCCGCGCTATCTGTGCGACAATGTCCTCTACGTCTGCAAACTCGACACACTCGCCTGGTGCGCTCCTCTTCGTCTATGTGTGTGTGCGTATCTGTCTGTCTGTCTGTCTGCCTGTCTGTCTGCCTGTCTGCAGACTTTCGCTCGTGACACGTAACCACATCCACTTCGCTTCCTTCTCCGTCTGCTCATACCATCACCACCGCCACCACCACCACGACAACCTCCACCGCCATGGCTGCTGCAGGGAGCAAGTCAACTTCTCGCAGGACCAGTCGGACGACGTGCCGTGCCGGCGCTTCGGCCATCAGTTCGTCTGGGACCCCGTCTCAAAGGTGAGTGGGTGGTGGTTTGCCTGCAAGCAAACGACTCAGAAAATCAAAGCAAAATGGCAATGAAGAATGGGCAAGGAGTGGGGGGCGGGGCGGGACAAACGAGGGTGATTGCTACGTTGCGCCTCGAGTTGTTCCTGATTGTCCAAATTGAAGCGTCAACTCCACAAGTGCAATACGTTCACTCACGCAAGCACACACGCTTAACCTCTCTCTCTCTCTCTCACTCCACTCACTCCATTCACTCACCCAATCAATCAATCAATCAATCAATCAACCACACAAACATACACGCAATCCCACAAATTCACACACACACGCCAGTGCCACTTCCTCTCCGCGGGCAACCCTGGTCTCGTTGACAGCAACCGCCTCCGCCTGTCCGACCTGTGGTCCCTGCGCATCACCCGCCCCGCCCGCCACGACGTCCTCCGCAAGTGCGTCAAGCTCGTGCGTCTGCACCGCTACCAGGAGCTTGCAGGCACGGACCAGCTGCGCGCGTACCGGTATCTTTGCGGCCCGCTGCGGGAGGCGTTTGCAGGGGAAGTGATGACCCACGCAGCACTGGCAAAGGAGCTGTTCCGAGCACAGTCGTCAACCACTACTGCTACTGCTACTCCTGCTACTGCCACTGGCAAGGACACAGGTGAGGCAAGGGAGGTGGTGGGCCAGGAAAGCATGTGGTTTTGTGTGT